ACTCAATCCATTGGACAGGACACGCCCCTCCTGTCATGGATCCTGCTACACACCTGCGCCTCCAGGGGGAGCTGAAAGGCGTCGATGCGATCCGTGAGGTAGGAGGTGAGCGTGTGGTCCAGCTGGCTCAGGGACTCGTGCAGCGTTTGGAGCGCCTGCTCGTTCTCCTTCAGCGTCTGCAGCTGCTGCTCGAGGCTGATCTGTCGGTTCGCTGCCTGCAGAGCAACAAGAGCGTGGATTTGAATCTGTCAGCCCGGGTTTTCTTTTATTCACCGGTGCTGTTCTGAGCAAATAACTGAAAAAGAGTGGCTGATGAGCGTTATGGACCACTTTACTGAAAAATATATCCAACTAGTTTCCCAGGACATTCTGAGAGAATAAACAATATTTCTACAAATATAAACAAATATCTACAAATATGTCACGCATGCGTTCAAATTAAAGCACGCACGTTTAGAGAAGTGAAACAATCCCCACCAAGATGAAGAAGTTCTGACCTGAAGGTTGAGCTGCTCGTAGCGGGAGTTGAAGGCCTCGAGTTTTTCACTAATGAGTTCGTCAAGAATGCCCCCGTCTATCAGAGTCTGACCCAGCTCTCGGATTTGCGTCCGGTTGTCCCCGGGGTGGCGGAGCACGCTCTCCAAAGACTGGTGGGAAGTTGGGAGGAAGTGACGGGCACAAGCATGAGAACAGAGTCCGAAAAAAAATCGAGGAAACAATAAAAAAAAAGTATGCTAAAATAAAGAGAAAGTTTAAAAAAACATATATTTTGATAAAGAGATCAAATTGGTCCTTTTACAATTAAAAAAAAAACTGAACCCATTAATTATCTAAGAAGAAAAAACAAACAAAATCTGGTGAAAAATGTGGAAAAGAATGAAAAACGTGCAGAAATTGTTAGGTCGGGTGTGTCAGAGAGAAGCAAGCCAAAAAAAAAACACCAACTGATAGAAAAACAAAACATCAAATGAGAGAAAGAGAGAGAGTGACAGCACGTTTGGATCCAAAGACGTTTCTGTAGGTTCATTAAATGTTGTGTTTCCTTCCCGTAGGAAACGCACAGAAAGAGCGACAGCCAGGCCCCCCACCCCCTCCGTCTTTGGACGGGTGAGTCTGACGAACATGGGAGGACGACAGGAACGAGGGTGGGATGAAATGGGTTCAGATTAGTGAGGCAGTAAAGAAAAAAAGAGGCAGACTCGTTGGGGGAGGCGACATCAACAACAACAAAAAAAAAAACATTTAACGAGAAGGACGCAGATCAGGAGGAGAGACTCAGAGCTGTGTGACGTTACAGGAGCAGCAAAGTGATTAAAAGTGAGTTTGACAGACGAGCTGCAGGCGCTCCACAGATATAGCAGCAGAGCAACTAAAGGAGAGGAAATCTAGAAGACAAATCAAAGACTAACGATGCTTTTAATGTGAAATTTTTGCATTTAGTTAAATTATTGATGTCTGGAATTGAACGTTTCTGTGCCGTCTTTAGTTAGAAATCAATTTACTTTGAACTTTTGTGCATTAAATGATTGATTTAACTGCTTTTAACTGAAAAGGAAAAGATTATACACAATCATTAATCATTTTAATTTACACCCCACTGCTCTAACTTATAATCAATTCAACTAGTTTTTTTTTAAATACCTCCAGAGCCTCATTAACCACCTCGGGGTTCTCTGGCAGGTTTTCAGTGGTTTGCAGTTTCTCCTCCACAGTGTTGAGCCAGCTCTGCTCCAAGTCCAGGTACTGAAGCAGCTCCATCCAACAGGACCAGACCTCCTGCACAGTACACCAACACACTTTACAGCAACAAATATATTGTAGGGCTGAAACCATTCCTCGAGTAATTCAAGGTACATTTTGGTTATATGTACTGTAATGATTAATTAAAGTGTAGCGTAGCGTAGCGTAGAGTAGAGCCGAGCAGAGTACAGTAAAGTAGTGTAGAGCAGAGCCGAGTAGAGTAGAGTAGAGTAGAGTAGAGTAGAGTAGTGTCGAGTACAGTACAGTTGCATAGATTAGAGTACAGTACGGTAGCATAGACTAGAGTACAGTACATTAGCATAGCGTAGAGCCGAGCAGAGTACAGTAAAGTAGTGTAGAGTACAGTAGAGTACAGTACAGTAGCACAGATTAGAGTACAGTACAGTAGCACAGATTAGAGTACAGTACAGTAGCACAGATTAGAGTACAGTACAGTAGCACAGGTTGAAGTACAGTACAGTAGCATTGATTAGAGTACAGTACAGTAAGTACAGTAGCATAGAGTAGAGCCGAGCAGAGTACAGTAAAGTAGTGTAGAGTACAGTACAGTACAGTACAGTAGTGTAGAGTA